ACAGTTAATATTTTGAGTCCGATATGACCCTTCTTCAGAGCCAGGTTAGAACCAGAAGAGTCATACTGGACTTGAAATGCTAACTCTTTCTCTCTCCTTAGATGCTGCCAGGTCTGCTGAATTGACCATTCAAGTCTTTGTCTTGCAAGTCTTGCATTTTCCATTCCGCAAAAGCCAAAAGTTCATCTGCAACTCTACTGCCCATATCCTAACTTAGATAAGTTCCTTTCATGTATTACCCCGTTCTCTCTGACCTGCATTGGTTCCCAATCTCGCAGTTTTCAGTTTCTCACCCTTGTTTCAAGCCCCTGCTGTCACCCTGCCTTTCCTGATATTTGTAACTTCCTCCAACCTAAATACAGTCATGGAGTCGGACAGCACAGGAACAGACCCTTTGGCCCAACTCGGCCATGCCGACCAGCTTTCCTAAACTGCACTAGTCCATTTTCCTGCATTTGGCCCATAATTGTACTCACCTCTGGCAGTTTGTTCCTTGTACGCATTAACCTCTGTGTGAAAAAGTTGTCCCTTGGGTCCCCTTGAAATCTTTCCCCTCTCACCTTAAGCCTATGCCCTCTAGCTTTGGACTCTCCCATTCTGGGGAAAAGATCTTTGCTATTCACTTTATCTATGGTCCTCATGACTTTATAAACCTCTATAAGGTCGCCCCTCAGCCTCCTACGCTCCAGGGCAAAAAAGCCCTAGCCTATCCAGCCTCTCCTTATAACTCAAACCCTCCAGCCTTGGTAACATGCTTGTGTGTGTTTTTTGCAACGTTTCCAGTTTAATAACATTCTTCCTCTAGCAGGGCAACCAGAATTGTATGCAGTACTCCAAGTGTAGCCTTACCAATATCACGCACAGCTGTAACATGGCATCCCAACTCCTGTACTCAATGCTGTGACCGATGAAGGCAAGCATACCAAACACGTCCTTCATCACCCTGCCTACCTGCGATGGAACTTTCAAAGAATTATGTACTTGCACCCCTAGGTCTCTCTGTTTGACAACACTCCCCAGAACCCTATCATTAATTGTTTAAGTCCTGCCCTGGTTTGTCCTACCAAAATGCAACACCTTGCATTTATATGAATTAAACTCCATCTGCCATTCTTTGGCCCACTGGCCCAGTTGATGAAGATCCCGCTGTACTCTTTTAGATAACCTTCTTCATTATCTACTGTACCACCAATTTTCGTGTCGTCTGCAAACTTATTAACCGTGCCTCCTATATTCACATCCAAATCGTTTATATAAATGACAAACAATAGTGGGCCTAGCATCAATCCTTGCGGCACACCCACCGGTCACAGGCCTCTAGTCTGAACATCAACACACTACCACCACCCTCTGTCTCCTACCAGTAATCCAATTTTATATCCAGTTGGCTAGCTCTTCCAGGATCCCATGTGATCTAACCTTACTAAGCGGTTTACCATTAGGAACCTTGTTGAAGGCCTTACTAAAGTCCCTGTAGACAATATCTGCAGCTCTGCCTTCATGTATCTTAGAGTTATAGTCATACAGCACCGAAACAGATCCTTCGGCCCAACTTGTCCATGTCCAGCAAATTTCCCAAACTAAAGTAGTCCCACTTACCTTTGTTTGGCCCATATCCCTCTAAACCTTTCTTATTCATGTACCTATCCAAATGTTGTAATTGTACTTACATTGACCACTTCCTGTGGCAGATTATTCCACATACAAACCACCCTCTGTGTGACAAAAGTTGCCCTGGGGTCCCTTTTTAAATCTTTCTCCTCTCACCTTAAAACTGTCTTAAAATTTTATCTTATTTTATCCTTTATTTTATCTTAGTTATATTCTTGGTCACCATTTCAAAACACTCAATCAAATCTGTGAGACATGATTTCACATGCACAAAGCCATACTGTCTGATCCTAATCAGTCCTTGCCTTTCCAAATGCATGTAGATCCTGTCTCTAACAAATTACCCAGCACTGACATCAGGTTTACCGGTCTGTAGTTCTCTGGCTTTTCCTTGCGGTCTTTCTTAAATAAAGGTGTAACATCAGCCCTGAGTTCTGTAGGTTCCATGTCTTTCTTCACAGTAAATACTGAGGTGAACTATTTGTTTAGGATCTCCTCCATCTCCTATGGTTCCACACATAGATGGCCTTGTTTATTCTTAAGGGGCCAAATTCTCTTCCTGGTTACTCTTTTGCCTTTAATATACTTGTAGAATCTCTTTGGATTTTCCTTTACCTTATTTGCCAAAGCTATCTTGTGTCCCTTTTTGCCCTCCTGATTTTCCTCCTAAGTGTACTCCTACACCCCTATATTCCTCAAAGGATTCACTTGATCCCAGCTGTCTATACCTGCCATATGCCTCCTTTTTTTTGACCAGAGCCTCAAAACCTCTAGTCAACCAGTGTTCCCTACTCCTGCCAGCCTTACCCTTCACACTAACAAAATCTGGGCTTTTGCATCTTGATTTTAATTACACCACTGTTAGAGTCCTGCCTTCAGCCATCTTGGTCCTAATATTTGGGTAACCCTCGCCAAATTTCTCAACCTTTCTCTCCTTTTGGTCATCTGTGCCCATACCTCCTTGTGAAAGCAAATCAATGTGGATGCTGGAATTGTGAAATAAAAACAGAAAGGGATGGACTGTGTAGTTCCAAAGAAGAGTCATATCGGACTTGAAACATTAACTCTTCACAGTTGCTGCCAGACCTGCAGAGTTTTTCTGCTCATGGTTTGGTAACATTCTTGTGAAGTTTGAGGCATGTTAATATGTTAAAGCTGCTCCATAATTGATTGATATGATATGATTATATCATATTGATTTTTGTCTGTGCACTGCATAGATCGATCAAGGAGATTTTCTGTGTTGGTCAGGGGTCAATGTGCTGAGGAGAAACTGAATCACTGAAGGACTCTAAAATAAGGTCCCCATACTGACAGGTTGTATATAAATAGTGAACCTGCTGTTATGAAGAATTCCACCTGCGTACCTACAATGGGATTGGTAAACAAACATTTCAACTTCATTGCAAAAGTGGATAGATGGATTTCCTGTGTACAAAACTGAAAGATTATATCATACCATGCTGGACAATTGGATATCTTTTGAGTGGAGTCTTTCTCCCTTTCTACAACACTTAATATTACAACAGGAATTCCTCAGGGTAGTTTCCTAGACCCAACCATCTTCAGCTACTTCATCAATGACCACTCCTCCATTATAAGGATAGGAATAAGGATGTTCACAGATGATTGCACAATTTTCAGCACCATTTGTGACCCCTCAGATACTGTCCAGCAAGACCTGGACAGTATTCAGACTTAGACTTTCAAGTGACAAGTGACACAGGTGCCGTACAATAACCATCTCCAATAAAAGAGAATCTAACCATCACCCCTTAATGTTTAATGACATTACCATTGCTGAATTCCCCATTATTAGCAGCTTGAGGAATACCATTGATCTATAACTGAATGGACTATCCATATAAATATACAAGAGCAGGTAAGAGGCTAGGAGTCCTGCAGCTAGTAACTCACCACTTGACTCCCTGTGGCCTGCCCACCATTTACAAGGCACATGTCCAGAGTGTGATAGAATCCTCCACACTTGCCTGGATGAGTGCAGCTTTAACAACACTCAAGAAGCTTGATTCCACCCAGAACAGAGTAGCTCACCTGATTGGCACCTCATCCACCCCCTTTAATATTAATTCTCTTCACTGATACACTAGTGACAACAGTGTGAACCATCTTCAAGATGCATTGCAGTAACTCACCTCCAGCAGTACTTTCCAAACCTGCAATCTCTATCATCTGGAAGGACAAGAGCAGCAAATTGTAAAGGAGCACTACAACCTGCATATATGTCTATCCACACACCATCCTGGGTCCTGACTGTATTGTGATTCCTTCACTGTTGCTGGGTCAAAATCCTGCAACTCCTTTTCCGGCAGTAGTCGCTGTCTCTCTACATAACTTGGACTGCGGCAATTCAAGCTGAATATCTTCGGAACAGTTACAAATGGGTGACAAATTTTGGCCCAGCAAGCAATCCCAAAATCCCAAGTCTATGGCTCAGTCCCACCGTAAACATATGACTGACTGATCCCTGTGGACTCCTTCTGTCTGAAGTCTTTTCACAGCCAAGCATTGGATAACACAGATATCCAATGGTACTTCTAGTGTCTATGCCCTCTGTCATTTGCAAATCTGGGTTGAGTTCACACACCTGAGAGTGCAGTAATCCCCACTTCCTCTGCATATGTAATATGATTATCACCTCATTTGTTATGCTGATAAAAAGTCTTGCTTCTGTTCACCATTTATAAACCCAGAGGCAAGCCCGTATTGAAGACTGAAATTCAATTTAATGCTCACTGTAAAATTGGATTTACAATTTTTTTTCCACTTAAGTCTGCAGTTTAGTACCCTGATCAGTGAAACTTTGGAATTTGCTACCAAATGGAATGGCTGAGGCAATTTACAGGTTTCATTTAAGAGAAGCTAGATATATGCATGCGGTAGGAATAGCAACATATCGTGACATGATCATATGAAGTAAGGGATGGGAAGTCATTGGTGTGGAGCATAATTGTCAGCACAGCCAATTAACTTGTGCTGTGCTGCAGAATTCTATGAATTGGCTGCCTTGCATTTCAGTTCAGTATCTCTCCTTTGTCTCCCTTCTTCCCTGGAAGTGTTTCTTGTCATCCTGTATATTGTGTCCACTGTTTAAAAGAACTGTAATATACCTTGTCTCTGCTTGAAGCAAGAAGATAAAGAGTGGTTATAGCTGGTGATATGCTTCCTTACCCCTGCATCAATGAGTAGCATAGCCCAAACACGGGACTGAGATTGTGTCTGGCAAGATGGAAGGAAAGGGTCAGTTGATGAGGGGAAACCTTTTGATTGAAGATTTTTTTGTCTTGGACCTTTTCAATTTGGTTGGAAAAATATTCCATGTTTTAAAAAAAAATTTGAGAATATATTTCAAACAAAATGTTTTGCAGCTAAAAGGTTTGGAATCACGGACGTTCCCATTGACATAGTAAACACGATTTCAATCGCGACGCAAGAACGGTTAAAAATGATCATCGGAAAACTGACATCAATAGCACAACACAGAATGGAAACGCACAAGGTATGTGGAGCAGGTGTCCCTGTGCCTGAGGAGGGTTGCTCTCTGCTTGACTAAACTTATACTGGTGCGTAAGATGTTCAGCTGCTGCTGTGCTGTTTGTCGTTGTTTTGAAGTCATCCATTCATAGTTCGACCATGTCAGTCATGGCTCAGTGGGCCACACTGTGTGCTATGAGAAGCATAGTTTGTGAGAGTTGTGTACATTGCTCTGGGAACATCAGCCCAAACAATGTGGGGGTGATTCACAGAGAAGGTGTTGTACTTTGGATTACGTTCACACCAAGGCCCTATCTGCTCGCTTGCCTAAAAGATCCTGTTATTCGATTTGAAGAGGAGCGGAGAAATTTTGCCTGGTGCCCTGGCCAATCTTTATCCCTCATCCAGCATCACTTGAAGTGGAGACATACTTCAGCAATGCTGCCCCACTAACCACCACCACCACCAAAAACAGTCACGCCCTTTAGGTTGTGAAATGGTGTTGGTCTGATTAGAGGTCACAGAAAATTTGGGTGTGACTTTATGTGGGATTCGTAGGGCAAGTTGTAGCCCAGTGGTGATGCTTCTGGGATAGTAGCCTTAAGACTTGGATCAATGTGTTGGAGAGATGTGTTCAGATTTCCCCATGGTAAAATAAAATGAGAATAAATTGTATGTCTCGTTGTACCAGATTGCTGTTAAAAAAAATCCCTGGTTCTTTGACTTTCTACAGGGAGGAAATTAGTGTAAACTCAGTCTAGCCTTAGTGTGATTCCAGGCACTCAACAATGTATGGTAAAATCCTGAGAGTCAAATCCCAAAGGATTTGCCCTCAGATTTTCAGTGGAGATTTGTGATATCTGAGGAGGCCCTGTTTTCATATGGATACATCAATTTGGAGCCGGATATACATGTAAATCCCCAAACCAGTTCAGCACAGAGTTCATTCCCTAATGGTCAGGAGTGAACCAGATGGATTTTATGACATTCAATAATAGCTTCATTCTCACCATTACTGAAACTAGCTTTCAATTCCAGGTTTATTAACTGAATTAGATTTCCACGCACTGCTATGGTGCGATTTAAAGCCTTACTGGCCTTTCCTACAACACCCATGTACATGAACTTTAAAAAAAAGTCAAAAACAGAATTAAAATGCCAAATATAGTAAAGGTGTAAAAAAAGGTCTTTATTCAACTCGTTCTCACTATACAGTGGTCAACCTGGTAAACCAGAGCTTTGCTGTGAAAGATGTCTGAAACAAATCTCCAGGAAAATTTTATAATACTTTTCTGTTTTGCATTCTCTGTTTGGACAAGCAAGAAACGGCCCATCATGTCATTAATGCAGTCAGATATATTTTTGGTAGTATGGTGCTGCAGTGCAAAATCCTAGAGCATTTCTCTAACTTTAGCAGCTACTGCTAAAGAGGTAAACATTGGTCGGACTCTTCAGAATCAACCATCTCCTCTTTTGAAAAATATAGCACTGTTTTTGTTGCATAATTTGTCATTTGCATGTGCAGCATGCAGCACTATCCACTTCCATGTTGTGCTGTATGGTTGTATGTAATAGATTTTCCACGTGGCCTCTTGCAGGTCAGTGAGAAGGCTCTTATCATCAGGATGTCTGGCCTCACTCAGCTGCGATTCATTCTCAATGTCTTGTACAGTGACTTTTTTGAACCGATCAGTGTGGAAACAATTGATCATTGCAGCTTTCATCATGTTGCTCATCAACTTCAAATGTAGATATGAATTAATAGCTGAAGTTGGCCATTTGGCACTTAAAGCCTACTTCGCCATTCAATAGCTGATGGCTGATCTGTTTGTGTTCCGACATCAACATCGCATCTACCACTACTACTCCCATAATCTTTGATTCCTTTGCCTAAAAAGAATCTCTCTATCTCCACCTTTAAAATTTTCGTTGATCCTGCTTCCAATGTCTTCTGAGGCAGAATGTTCCAAAGTCTGAACTCTGACAGAAAAAGTTCTCCTCGTCTCTGTCTGAAAAGGGCAATCCTTAATTTTAAACAATGCTCAGAGATACTAAGAACAGCACATGCTAGAGACAGAAATAACACAGTGTGGAGCTGGAGGGACACAGCAGGCCAAGCAGCATCAGAGGAGCAGGAAAGTTGACGTTTCGGGTCGGGACCAAACAGTGCTGCCTAGTTCTGAATTGACTGACGAGAGAAACATTCTTTCCATGTTCACCTTGTCCATAAGACCATAAGATATAGGAACAGAATTAGGCATTTGACACACTGAGTCTGCTGTGTCATTTGATTAAGGTTATGTTTCTCAATCCCATTTTCTTGCTTTCTCCCTGTAACCTTTGATCCTCTTATTAATCAATAACTTACTTATCTCTATCTTAAATATAGTCAGGATTGGCCTCCACAGCCCTCTGTGGCAATGAGTTCCCCAGATTCATCACCATTTGGCTAAAGAAATTCCTCCTCATTTCCGTTCTTAGGGGCCGTGCCTTCACTCTGAGGCCGTGCCCGCGGGACCTAGTCTCTCCTATTAGTGGAAACATCTTCTCCATGTCCACTCTATGCAGGCCTGTTTGTATTCTGTAAGTTTCAATGAGATCCCCCCCACCGTCGTCCTTCCAAACTCCATAGAGTACAGGCTCAGAATCCTCAACAGCTTCTAATATGACAATCCCTTCATCCCTGGGATCATTCTTGTAAACCTCGTCTGGATCCCGTCCAACATTTGCACATCCTTCCTTAGATACGGGGTCAAAAACTGCTCATGATATTCCAAATGTAATCTGACCAGAGCCGCCTTTATTCTTCTTTATTCATTCATGGGGTGAGGGCGTCGCTGGCTAGGCAGCATTCATTGCCCATCCCTAATTGCCCAGAGGGCAGTTCAGAGTCAACCACGTTGCTATGGGTCTGGTGTCACATGTAGGCCAGACCAGGTAAGGTTGGCAGTTTCCTTCCCTAAAGGACATTAGTGAATCAGATGGGTTTTTCCTGACAATCAACAATGGATTCATGGTTTTCTTTAGATTCCTAATTCCAGATATTTTTTGTTGAATTCAGATTCCATGATCTGTTGTGTTGGGATTTGAACCTGGGTCCCCAGAACATTATCTGGGTCTTTGGATTAACAGGCCAGCGGTAATACCACTAGGCCATTGCCTCCCCATTTGCCTTATACAGCCTAAGCAATACATTCCTGCACTTGTATTCTAGCCCTCTCAGAATGAATGCTAACATTGCATTTGCCTTCTGAACTGTTGACTGAACTGATGTTAACCTTAATAGAATTCTGAACTAGGATTCGTAAGTCCCTTTGCACTTCAGATTTCCAAAGCCTTTTCCAGTTCGAAAGTAGTCTACACCTCTCTTCTTCCTACCAGAGTTCGTAATCTCACACTTTCCCACATTATATTCCATCTGCCACATTTTTGCCTGCTCTACGAGCCTGTCCAAGCCCTTCTGCAGCCTCCCCACTTCCTCAACACTACCTGTCCCTCCACCTAGATCTGTGTCATCTGCGATCTTAGCAACCATGCTCTCCATTCATTGTTCAGATCGTTAATGTATGACATGAATAGATGTGGTTCCGACACTGACCCCTCTGGAGCTCCACTAGTCACTGGCTGTGATTCTGAAAAGACCCCTTTATCCCCACTCTTTGCATTCTGCCAGTCAGCCAAACCTGTATCCATGCCAGTACCTTGTTCATAATACCATGGTCACTTATTTAGCAGCCTCCTGTGTGGCACCTTGTCAAAGGCCGTCTGGAAATTCAAATAGCTCACGTTGTCAAGACCATTCAGGATATTATACAATTCAGTTAAGTCACCCCTCGCTCATCTGAACTCCAGTCATATAGTCATAGGGATCTACAGCATAGAAAAAGGCTCTATGGCCTATGGCTGTGCACCAGTCAATAATAATCACCCAACTAATCCCATTTTCCAACACTTGGCCCAGAGCTTTGTGTGCCTTGGTATCACAAGTGTGATGCACATTTTTGGGCAATGAGAGGAAATCAGAGCATCTGGAGGAAAGCCATGAAGACACTGGGAGAATGTGCAAACTCTGTCTTTAACAATACTGTGGTGTACCTACACTGCATGATTGCAGCAGGTTCAAGGAGGCAGCTCAACATCACCACCTGAAGGACAGTTGGGAATGGGCAACAATTATTAACTTTACTGGCATTGAGAACTCCCCAGAAAACAAAGTGGAGGTAAGTGGACCCTAATGCTGTATTAGAAAAGCCTCAGTCTTTGTCCTTATCAAATAAGTATGAGCTACTTGTTGCCTTCTGTGAATGAGGTAGAGCTGCAGAATGGAGCTGTAAACTAACAATTGCACTATGGTGTAGGAGGAGTGAAAAGAAGTACGTATATTCGTATGAGGGTATGAAAATACTTTGCAGCTGTAACTAGTGCGAATGGAGGATGTCTTGCTTGCCCAGTGCCAGAGATAAAGAGCTGCAGGGGGAGAACATGAAGTACAAAAGGGAAAATCCACTTAACAACATATAGAAAATGAGATATTGTAGAGAGAGTTTGATCAACTAGAATGAAAATTTAAACAGCACATCCTCAAAGGTTATACATAAAAACAGAAAATCGGAACGGGGTAGGCTGTTTGAACCTGCAGCATTTGTGATAAGGCAGATAAATTAATTGTACAGTTAGAGCTACATTTTTTAATTTATTCATTAGATGAGGGCATTGTTGGATAGGCCAGCGTTTACTGCACATCCCAGTAGGCAGTTAAGAGTCAAACACATTGCTGTGGGTCAGGAATCATATGTAGGCCAGATCAGGTAAGGATGGCAGTTTTCTTCACTGAAGCTTCAATGGTATCAATGTGGACTTCAAGCTTCAAAATCTCCCCTCCCCCAACCGCATCCCAAAACCAGCCCAGCTAGTCCCCGCCTCCCTAACCTGTCCTTCCTCCCACCTATCCCCTCCTCCCACCTCACGCCCCACCCCCATCTCCTACCTACTAGCCTCATCCCGCCCCCTTGACCTGTCCATCCT